TTCGGCTCAGGTCATGAACTCGTGGTTTGGTTCATGAGTTTGAGTCCCGCGTCGGGCTCTGTGCTGACAGCTCAGAGCCTGGAGCCTGCTTCGGATTCGGTGTCTCCCTCCCTCTCTCTCTCTCTCTCTCCATTCCTCCCCTATTTGCATTCTGTCTCTCTCTCTCTCTCCATCTCAAAAATAAAGATTAAAAATATTAAAATAGTGGATATTTGAAGAGAGACAAAATACCCAAAAGTAGCATTTGCTCAGAGCCATTAGTAATATTTGCATCTGCATTATTTTTTCTGAATATCCAATTTCAAACTGAATAACTAGCTATCTGTTGAGTAAATGTTTCTCTCACTTTCTCTTCTCTCCACACACACACACACACACACACACACACAGTTGTAATGAACATAGCAATACATACAGCAATAAGTAAGTACTTGTACTGCCGCTAACCCAGAGAAAGGCACCATGGATGCATGGAGGGCATTGGCAGAGGAAAGAAGAATCAACATGAGGGGGGAGCATTATTTGTCGCTGTACTGGCAGTGCTCATTACTAGCCATACCTGTCATCTATTCGAGTTTGGGACAGCTCTGTAAGGTAGGTAAGTGATATTATCCCCATTTTACAGATAAAGAAGTGAAATTTAGAGTGGTGCCACGAAGTCTGCTTCCGGATAGAGATGACAGTGGTTACCTGGGCTAATCGGTTTTCTTTCTCTCAAGAATGCAAACAGAGAAAATACAGGAAGAGGCTGAGAAGATAGTGAAAGCAAAAGCTGACACGACATAGGAAAATGGGGAAACAGAGGCCTCAGGAACTGTGAGTCAACAGAACCAAGACCCGCCAGACAGGAGTATACAGAGTCTGTGATGACTGGTCAGGCGTCACCCTTGGTAATATTCCAGAAGAGCGTAGTCAGCCCCTAATGTCACGAATCAGAATCCTCGACCACTGCCATTGAGGACAGCGAGAATAATCAGTTCTGAAACTGCTTTGGAGACTTCTGGCTGTTGAACTACATCCTTTCTCTATGAGGCGGTCTGTCTGCCCCCCAATTTGTGCCGACATCCACAAAGCTGCCGACCTCACCCACAACCACAAGAAAGAAGCAGTAGTGTCTCTGTCCCTCTTTGACTTTCCAGCTCTGACAAGTGCTGCAAGTGCCTGGTAAACAAACCAGCCTCTGGAAATGTGGCTTTACCAGAGGCTGCTAGCCTAAATAGAAAAGTTAGAAATGCCTAGAAGGAGAGGGTACTGGATGTCAACAGATAACAGGAACCTCTGAAAGCAGCTCTTTTAAGGAAACTCTTGTGATTTTAGGACAGGCGTGAATGATCTGATTTATACTTTTAAAAGTCAACTGATGGAAGTACAGAGTGAGTTGCAGGGCCAAGAGCGGCTGGGGCAGTCTGTTCAAAGCTCTTTCACTAGTCTGTCTGGACCGTGATAATTGATGAAGATGGGTGAAAGTATTAAACAAGTGAGTAGGAATTTAGGGAGAGGGGAGGAAAAGAGGATAGAGCTTCCAAGTAGTGGTACAGGATGAGGTAGTCTCAGTGACATTTTATTTCATTGACTGTGGCTGGATGGATGTGTGGCCATCCATGGAGACTGAGACTGGAAATACTGTAAGTGGACTAGCCAGGAGAATTTATAACTTCACGTGGTGTTTTCTCTCCTCAACTTCACTAGAGGTAAAATGTCTTCATTGTATTTGTCTCACAAGACCCAGCACCAGGCCATCATGCAATACTTAGTCCAACTCAAGTCGGGAAAGAATCCTGAATTAGACATCATTACGGTATATCTCTCTCTCTCTCTCCATCTCAAAAATAAAGATTAAAAATATTAAAATAGTGGATATTTGAAGAGAGACAAAATACCCAAAAGTAGCATTTGCTCGTAGTATTATTTTGCATCTGCATTATTTTTCTGAATATCCAATTTCAAATAACTAGCTATCTGTTGAGTAAATGTTTCTCTCTCACTTTCTCTCTTTCTCTCTCCACACACACACACACACACACACACACACAC